ATGACAATCCTTATGAAAACTACAATAATTATATTAAATTAAGCATAGTTTTTCATCCCATGATAATTTTCTTTAGGAAATAAGAGCATTAAATTTCTGCCAGGCATATTAGTTATTTTGTGCATAATCAGCAATTTACCTGGGGTGGTGCATAGTCATTTTCTGGTAAAATATTATACTGAGACAAATTTTTGCTTCCAATGACCACCTCTAAAAGCAACCCTTCTAAACACTGTAAGCACTTCAGAAAGCCTGTCGCTTTTTCTTTTCGGAAGTTCGAGCTATGTCGGCACTGCCGTTTCAGGGCGGGGTCATTTTCAGGACTTTCGCCCCGGATTCAGGTTTTGGCACATATGCCATGTTGACCGCCATGGTCATTTTACCCTAAAACAGTTGAGATTACCTGTGCTAAATGAAACACATACAAACACCTATACAGGTCCTAGACTAATAGTTATATAGATTAGAACACACATATAGTCAAGCAGAAGATCCGGGCAAGCTAAATCTGGACAGGTTACTGCATGACGCTGTGCAACTTTCACCTATACCAAATTTCTGTCCTTTCCTTGAACATCTTGCATTTACAAAAATAAAACGGTACTGATGTTCTGTTATCCACTTTTAACCCCGTTTGATATTGCGATGTACTAAAGCACATCTCCTTGCCATTTGAATATTTGTCGATTTAGCACACGCAAAATAGTCTTCTGCCCACACTGACGAAAATATACATGCTTATATATTTTCCTGCCGATATTACCAGACATAATTTTAATTCTCTGGATGACACTGACAATATTTTACATTACTTTCTGTACTAAAAAGGTATCGTCCTTTCTTTTATGATTTTTCCAGATTGCCCAGCACAATGCTTGTCTGAAATCTTGGTTGCAGTCATGCAGCAAGTTAAATCTTTTTTCTTTATTTCCAAAGACCACATAGGTAAACAGGAACCAGTTTTTTAAAATCCAAATTAAATTCACTGTATTCAAATTAGTTTAGACTAATAAACCATTTTAATTTATGTTGTTGTTTTGCTAATTTAAGAAGCGCATTCCAACTCCTGAATGTAATAATACTTGTTTGTTAGCGTTTTTGTTGTTCTGTTACATTGCATCAAACAACGCAGCTTTTGTGAGGGACCCACGGTAGATATTAAATATTTGGCTAGAAACCAACAAAAAAGAAAAGCAGAGAAAATACAGCCTGGTGGCGTCTCTCAAAATGCAAGGCCAGGGTAAAGGATAGCATGCACGAAACCTACAGTTTGCCGTATGTACTCGTTCATTTAGAGAACAAGAAATTTGATTGGTTGAAAATAAAAAATATGATAATTTATGCTAATTGAACGAACATCGCTAACAGATAACACACTTTTTCAAATAACACACCTAATTAAAATCTCTATTAACACAGCTTGGAAAAACACGCCTTAGGAAGTAACACGCCTTTTTTTTATTTAAACATATTTTGTTCTCAACATTTTCTCCAAGAGCTAGGCTCATCGAGGGAGATCATGTTAACTTATTTAAAACATTGGAGTACATCGTGTTTAAATAAAAGGTATACACAAACATAATAAAATAATTATAAAGAAAAAGAACTATAGTTAAGCTCAGTGAAGAAATCTCAAAACCTAAAGATAAGTTGTTACGTATTAATATTCAATTCAACTAATAAATCGCTTAGTTTGGAGAATAAACAGTTGAACATTCCGCATCAAAATTTGATTTTCTTCAAAACCAAGTATTTCTGAACCATATAGAAATGTTTCAACTATCTGATCTTCCGATAAGCTCAACGACGTAGCGTGGAGCAACTGTGCAGAGGAAAGCAAGCATTGTCGCTGAGCAGCATATCGAGGACAGTGCAAAAAGAAATATTTAATTGATTCCACTATTCCCCATCTACATTTACAATATGGAGAAATTGCACAGTTAATACTATATAGATAAGAATTCAACGCACAATGACCTAGACGAAGTCTACTATGTAGTATTGAACTGTATCGATTTAACGAGGTGTTGTAGAGAGTATTATATTTCATTCCATAAAATGTATTACGTAGTTTATACTTTTGAATAATGATAATGATTCTACATTACACAAGTTATTATCAAGTTCATTCCAAGCTGCAATTACTGGTGGGTAAAACGTTCGGTACTAGTAGGAATATAGGTAAAATTTTCATTAGATCTAAGGTGGTGATCAGATCTCTGATGGACATATGGAGGTGAAAGATCGCGAAGGTAGGATGGAGTGAGGCAATTTATTATTTTATAAAGCAACGATAATTTATGTAGAAATCTTTTAGTTTTTAGATCTTCCCAGCATAATTCGTTTAATAATTGTACCCTGTTTGTTCCTTTCATTGCTCCAGTAACTATACGAGCCGATTCGTTCTGTATTCCCTCTAAAAGATTTGCTTCGCTTTCAGTACATCCGTCCCAGATGACATCAGCATATTCCATCAGAGGTCTAACAAGACTTTTATATAATGAGATAAGGGTAGATCTATGGAGCTTATATTTTACACTTTTTAAGAGATTCATCATCTTGCTAGCTTTTTTATGTATACTTTGGATATGATGATTCCATGTAAAATTTGACGTAAGTTTCAATCCTAGATGAATATGATTAACTTCTCATAAAGTATTGCCATCTAAATGTAGTGTGTGATGTGTTTGTCCAGAAACTGTTTTTTGAAAATGTAATACTTTCATTTGGAAGGATTCAGCTCCATTAGCCATTGTTTACACCAATGACTAATTTTATCAAGATCCAAGTTTAATTTTGAAGCAGAACTTGTTGGGTCGTCAGTTATGTCAAATAAAGATGTGTCATCAGCGTAAAGAAAACAGTTAGATACAATGTCTACACAAATATCGTTAATATATGTAAGAAAAATCAATGGCCCGAGCATAGTGCCCTGTGGGACTCCAGCTTCAGTGTTTAACCAACTCGAGGTCTGCCCATCGATAACAACTCTTTGTTTTCGGTCTGTTAAATAACTACGAAACCAACTTAGAAGAGGGTCCTTCAGCCCAAGAGTCTGCAATTTGTAAAGTAAACCCTTATGCCATACCTTATCAAATGCTTTAGTGAAATCAAGAAAGACCATACGTACTTCTTTCCCCATATCCAAGGCTTGATAGTTTATATGAACAATATAGGTCAGTTGGTTAACAGTACTATCACCAGGTCTGAATCCAGACTGAAATCGCTAAGGTAATGTATTTCTAATAAAAACGCATACAACCTTGCAAATACAATTTTTTCTGATATTTTTGAGATAGATGGTAGAAGGGATATGGGACGGTAATAATCTTTATATTGGTGGTCATCGTTTTTGTTTTTAGGAATTACGTTGGCTCTTTTCCATTCAGTAGGATATTCTCGTTTTTGAAAGCTTAAATTAAGTAAATTTGTAAATGATTTTTTAATGCCATTACTACTTTGTTTAAGGATCTTGTTTCCAATACCGTCAGGACCACAAGCTTTTGAAATATCAACCTTCTCCAGTAACATCAGAACTTCTTGTTCTGTTGTATGAATTATTGATAATGTTTTATCAGACTGGAAATAAGTTAATAACGGCAACTGACAATTACTATCGTTAATTCGATTGATTAACAAAGTAGTCATTGAATATGTCCGCTTTTTCTTTCGAGTCAAAAACAATCTCAGCGCCCTCTTTAATAGGTGGTATGGAGGTATGATTATTTTTATCATTAAGAGTGAATTTAATGTAAATCCACCACTTTTTTGGACCTAACGAAGGATCTGATAGTTTATTATTTAGTTTACAATAATACGAGGTTTTAGCTTCACGAATTAACCACGTTGTGTAATTTCTCTGATTTTTGTAACGGCGCCAAAGAAAGTCAGTTTTCCTTTTACTAAATTGTTTTAATAATCTATTTCTTTTTCGAATTGCAGTTCGTAGTTTCGTACGGCTGATACCATCCAAGGTTTGTCCCGAGGTCGTATTGCAACTGTTTTGTTTAGGATGTATTTATCAATTATAAGTCGAATATGCCGAAACCAATTTCCATAAACATCATCAATCTGGATAGAATCTCTAGTACAATCTTCCCAATTGATAACACGCCTTTTCATAATAACAGTCCTTCTACACTATAGTTAATAAACCTTTGAACACAGGGGTTTTATTAAAATACACACATCTGTCTTTGTGACTTTTATACACGCGCCATTTTTTTTTCATTTGTGTTCACTATAGCTTCTCTGGTGCTCACAATATAGCTGCAGCTTTAAATCGCGGTTCAGAGATTGCGGTTATAAGTGGGTGATAATGAAGCAAGCAATATATTTGAAGATGAATTGGTCCGTTGTAAAAATATAGGACTGCAAGCATGCTATGCGCTAATATGTATGGCATAATTATCGGAAAATATACAGTACTTCGTTCAAGAAGATTGTAATAACGGCATTTTGGTGCACGGTTTTGGAAAAACACAAACGGTGTGTTATATAAATATTCAAATTTTCCACACTAACTGACGACAAGCTTTCGACCAATAAGAATTTGCGTTTCAGCATACAATTTTGGTTTCAGTCGGTGTCTGCCATCGCTAAGTTATATCACAGTTAATAGACTAAGATGGTTAGGCTAGCCGGACCACGTGACAAATATGTTATTATCCACTTTTGATTTTGGTCATGTGACCAATAAGGGGGATGCTTTGTGATGCGTGATTAGGAAAACATATGAGTGAGAACATAATATGCCTACAAAAGATGATATTTCAAAGCGCTAGAGGCTTCTGAGATCAAGATGGAAATTGAAACAGAATGCGAACAAACATACTAACTTATTTTGAACGTTGGAGATGGAGATATCGAAGAAAGCGAGCGTAGTGGGCAGTTTATGATCGAGGCATCAAGGGACGAAGGCTTTGCATGTTTATACACCGCGTTCGGATAATCTTATTCTTGGCGTTGTTTTAATATGTCAGGATACGATTAAACTTTTAAAGTAATATTGAATAGTATGGTTGGCTGTAATTGTGCTTTGTATGGCTGTCCGACCAGCAGAACGCATGAATTTGCAATTTTAAAATTCCTGTTGTTGGCGCAGCTGATGCTGAACAAGAAGAGAAATACTCGCGAAGAATGGTCTTCGAATTATTTTAAGGACTAGAGAAAAGACGGCAGATCTTCGGAAACAAATTGACGAAAATAAGACTATCCTTTGTGAAAAAGATTCAAGCCAGAGTGTATTTTGACTTTTAAGTATTTGCATTTTATGCATGCACGATGCTCTTGTATGATCAGATCTCGGATCAGATATAAACAACGAGGGCATATTTGTATTTGCAATTTACTTATCCATGTCTAATATCTATCTTTCTGTAGACCCGAAACGAAAGATTTTATAACTGGCGGCGTGCCTACTGAAAATTTACCTACAAAAAACCACGAAGTTCCCAAGTTGTCACATTAACTCGACGTATACCAGATAAACAAACGACAAGCTTCAAACATACGTCAGTTTAGTGACTGGTGTGCCCAGTATATTCAAGAACTGATGGCAGATTTAGATAATATTCAAATATGGAAAGTAGAAAAAATGCAAGATAAGGAGGTCCAAGGCTCAAAAAGCAATTTAAAGTAATATTTTTTGTGGTCATTCGATTTTCGTACCAAGATTGGTGATCAATTTGATTGTCAGTTGACGTATTAACCCATTAAGGCCAAGACTGAGTATTCCCTGTTCCTTGAAAATGTATGATTTTGTATTATCTGGTATTCAACAGAAATAAAGTTAAAACAGGATACATCAAAGTCTTAATGGGTTAAATAGGGGCCGATTACATGGAGCATTTTCAACTCTGGGGTTGGACTGTTTTTGTTTTCACTCCCGGGAATCAATGCCGGGAATTACATATAGCATTTCAACCCGTCACGCGTAATTCTGCAGCGTCAGCATAATTCCGCCATAACACAATACAATATTTATAAATATAATAAGCAAATTTTTAAACAATGTCTTTTTTTTTTACACTGTAAATTTCAAGGAGTTGAATCAACTCAAAAAGTTTTATTCTGTAACCAAAAACGGTCTAAAACGATTACAGAATAACACTTTTGGAGTTCATTAGACTCCTTGAAATTTACAGTGTAAATTTATTTTCCCATGTACATTACAATTATTAATACATTATTACAAATTAACTATTTGGGCTAGAGACCTACTAGAAACCTTTGCAGGCTTTTGTTTCTAGGCCACTAGTCATGTCCTATTTAGATTATTTTATTATTTACAGTAATTTTTAAGATAATATTAAATGCAGAAGAAAAGTTTTACAAGGTATATACAAGATATTTACAAATTTGAGGTATGAAGGGTAAATACTGTAGTGTTTACAATATTAAGATAAAGAGATATA